AAATTCTGCTTCGCGGTTACAGACAAGAATTGATTTAGATGTGTAACTCGAAGAGAATTTTTCAAGTCATCCATTATTAAGCTGAATAAATCTGAATCTGAGACTCTCGAGAATGACTCACATTTGTGCATTTCGTTCGCTTATTATCGCATTATTTATGGAGCAATTTTTCAGGGATGTTATTTCTGATAACTGAAATCGTGCTGGGAACATGGAAATTCAGTCAGTTCGCATGCGTTGCATATCTTATCTTCGAAGCGATGAATAAGTTTGTGGCACCAGTTATTGTGGTACTCATCAGTCGAACGTGCTATGTAGCCGTTTGCTTGGGGCCCGCAAAACAGAAAGCTGCAACTAGCTTGAAAGTGATTCTCTTTGCAGGCACTTTTGATCCTGTCCATTTTTTTAGAAGAGCCTTTCAATACCGAACAACTATTGAAAACAATCTTAAAGCGGTGTTCCATTTGAAATCCGTTTCAGTTAGCTGTGATAAAATCAGTAGTAACCAATTTTGAGCAGTTAATCAAATAGATGAACTGGCAGTTAGCACCTTGAACAGAAAATCAATGAACTGTTTATGTCTAATTCAAGATGACGAAATTAATCGAATCGAGCAAATTTCAACAGCAAAAAAGTTTTTTCCAGTGAAAAATGTCACATTTTTCTGCAACATTTCCACATAAAACTTTCAGCTAGCTATAGCACAAGTGACCGCTTCACTGATACTCGTCATGATCATGCTATGGCCAGTGTTCACCTATAGCCAAGTGTCGTCGTTATATTTATACTTGAATACAACCACAAAAACTGTCAAGGTTCTACGAAAATGCAGTTTCATGCCACCCCCTGGTAGGTAGATTTTTCACGTCAACAAATCCACTTAACTGATGTCTACATTGAATTTGCCGTGTCACCATTCTTTGGAAGTATTTCTAATGTATATTTGGAGCTCGTTTGGTCCCTCTTAAACCGGAGGTACTGAGGAATGTCCGAAAACGAAAGTTTTAGTCATTTCAAAAGTTAAACTCCAGGTGTTGAGCTGAGTTTCGGTGTTATATCATGCATAGCGAGTTATGCAATTCCGCTCGGTGGTATGATCTATTGGTACGTGTCAGTGCCATTTTTCCTCAAGAAGCATGCCGAGAAATCTTTGGTCACAAGAAGGTATGCGATCAATTCCTCCTTGAAGAGCATTTCATTACCTTACGTCAGCGGTTCTCATAGGGGTCATTTTGAGTAATTTGGAGATGTCAGGGGGAATGGAGGGGTCGGGAAATTAGTATTTCGTGCAATTTTATGTTATGATAGAACGCCATTGTGATGGTGTCTTTCAACTCGGGTCTTCATCCTCCTATTTTCTGAATATCA